GTCCTCGTGATCTTGCACTCCATTGCCTCAGTTCCGCATGCTTCCAGAACCCCATGGGGGCTAATCTGTGGATTTGGGATAAGATACCTCTGTAACTTTTTTACTTTCCCTAATACTTTTTATTTTTTTACCTACAGAGAGGTACAATGAATACCCATATACCCTTGATATTGATTTACCAGCTGTTAACATTTTACCACATTTGGTTCATCAATTGATCCATTTATACTTTTTTTTCCTTTTTTTTGCTAACCTATTGAGACTAAATTGTGCCATCATAATCTTCATGCTTAAATACTTCAGCCTAAGTGTAAGGATGTTGTACATACCTATAGTATCTCCTTTTATAACTATTCATTATCACACTCAATAAATTTATACTTAATAGAATATTTTATAATATGTTCCAATTCCAATAATATCCTTTATAAGTAGCTGGTTTTGTGCTGAGCCAGGTTCCAGTCAAACATCGTACTTGGTTATTATGCACTTTGGTCTCCTTTAATTAAACACAGCTCCCAGCCTTTACTTGTCTTTCATAATACAGAGATTTTTGAATAGTACAGGGCAGTTATTTTGTAGAAGTTTCCATAATTGGGATTGTCTAATCCTTTCCTGGTGATTAGTTTCATATTAAATCCTGTTCACAGGAGAGTGAATACATGAGGGACACTCCTTCCCAGTACAGGACAGCAAGAGGCAATAATGTCACTTTGGTCCTACTATTGATGATGTTAAGTTTAATCATTTAATTAGTCTAGTGTCTATCAGATTTCTCCATTGTTCTCTTTGTTATTAGTAATTAAGCCAGTGAGTAAAATTTTGAGACTGTGAATATCCTGTTCAGCCTCTCATTCAATGGTTTTAGCATCCATTGATGGTTCCTACTTGAACTGACAGTATGTTAGATTGAAAAGTGGTTACTTTCTAGTTGTACATTTCTTCTACATTTCTTAACTGGACTTCTTCTGGAAAAAAGGACCTATCTCATCTCCCATCCCCTCCTTTTTTATACTGTGGACTTGAGACTTTTTGAAAGTCAATGTGTTTTAATCCATTTTTGTCATTTTTTTATGATCACGTCCAAAATGTGGCCAACAAGAGTCTTCTTGAAACTGACTTTTGTCCTTTAGACATGTCTACATCACTTTTTGTTTGTTTGTTTTGTTTTTCTGGTATTAGTAATATACAATTACATGAGCAACATTGTGGTCACTAGATTCCTCCCATTATCAAGACCCCACAACACACCCCATTATAGTCACTGCGTAATAAGATGCTATGGAATCACTACTTGTCTTCTCTGTGCTATACTGCCTTCCCATGCCCCCCTGATACATTGTGTGTGCTAATCATAATGCCCCATAATCCCCTTCTCCCTCCCTTCGCACCCACACCCCACAGTCCCTTTCCCTTTGGCAACTGTTAGTCCATTCTGGGGTTTTGTGAGTCTGCTGCTGTTTTGTTCCTTCAGTTTTTGCTTTGTTCTTATGCTCCACAGATGAGTGAAATCATTTGGCACTTGTCTCTCTGCCTGGCTTCTTTCACTGAGCTTAATATCCTCCAGCTCCATCCATGTTATTGCAAATGGTAGAATTTGTTTCTTTCTTACAGCTGAATAGTATTCCATTGTGTATATGTACCACATCTTCTTTATCCATTCATCTACTAATGGACACTTAGGTTGCTTCCATTTCTTGGCTATTGTAAATAGTGCTGCGATAAACATAGGGGTGCATATGTCTTTTTGAGACTAGGAAACTGCATTCTTAGGGTAAATTCCTAGGCGTGGAATTCCTGGGTCAAATGATATTTCTATTTTTAGTCTTTTGAGGAACCTCCATACTGCTTTCCACAATGGTTGAACTAGTTTACAATACCATCAACAGTGTAGGAAGACCCCCTTTCTCTGCATCCTTGCCAGCATTTGTTGTTTCTGTTCTTTTCTACGTTGGCCATCCTAACTGGCGAGAGGGGATACCTCATTGTAGTTTTAATTTTCATTTCCCTGATAATTAGCGATGTGGAGCATCTTTTCATGTGCCTGTTGGCCATGTGAATTTCTTCTTTGGAGAACTGTCTGTTCAGCTACTCTGCCCATTTAATAGGGTTATTTGCTTTTTGGGTGTTGAGGCATATGAGTTCTTTATATATTTTGGATGTTAACCCCTTGTCAGATATGTCACTTACAAATATATTCTCCCTTACTGTAGGATGCCTTTTTGTTCTGCTGATAGTGTCCTTTGCTGTACAGAAGCTTTTTAGCATGATGTAGTCCCATTTGTTCATTTTTTATTTTGTTTCCCTTGCCCAAGGAGATGCATTCAGCAAAAAGTTGCTTGTGTTTATATTCAAGAGATTTTTGCCTATGTCTTCTAAGAGTTTTATGGTTTCATGACTTACATTCAGGTCTTTGATCCATTTTGAGTTTACTTTTGTGTATGGGATCAGACAACAATCCAGTTTCATTCTCTTGCATGTAGCTGTCCAGTTTTGCCAACACCAGCTGTTGAAGAGGCTGTCATTTCCCCATTGTATATCCATGGCTCCTTTAATTGACCATAAATGCTTGGGTTTGTATCTGGGCTCTCTAGTCTGTTGCATTGGTCCATAGGTCTGTTCTTGTGCCAGTACCAAATTATGTTGATTACTGTGGCCTTGTAGTAGAGCTTGAAATCAGGGAACATAATCCTCTGCCACTTTATTCTTCCTTCTCAGGATTGCTTTGGCTATTCGGGGTCTTTTGTGGTTCCATATGAATTTTAGAACGATTTTCTCTAGTTTGTTGAAGAATGATGTTGGTATTTTGATAGGGATTGCATTGCATCTGTAGGTTGCTTTAGGCAGGATGGCCATTTTGACAATATTAATTCTTCCTATCCATGAGCATGGGATATGTTTCCATTTATTGGTATCCTCTTTAATTTCTCTCATGAGTGTCTTGTAGTTTTCAGAGTATAGGTCTTTCACTTCCTTGGTTAGGTTTATTCCTAGGTATTTTATTCTTTTTGATGCAATTATGAATAGAATTGTTTTCCTGATTTTTCTTTCTGCTAGTTCATCGTTAGTGTATAGGATTGAAACAGATTTCTGTGTGTTAATTTTGTATCCTGCAACTTTGCTGAATTCAGATATTAGTTCTAGTAGTTTTGGAGATTCTTCCACATGAGTTTTTAAGTATTCCATTGCTTTCTTGTTAAAGATGTTCCAGGTTCTCCTTATAATTTCCTTGTTACAGACCTAGAATCACCTTCTTTCCAGAAAAAGTGTCTGGTTTCTTTAGTTGGGGGAATAGTATTTAGAAAACAAGATCTGGGTGAGGAGTATGCTGATTGATACTGGGGTGTCTGATTCTAGGCCCTTTCCAACAGCAGAGCTAGTAAATTACAAAATTTTTTAATACAAGTTCATACTGATAACTCTACTTCCACTCCCACAGAATTCCTCCTTTCCTTCTATTCCATAACTGAATCTCTCTTCTTGCACAGTGAGAACCTTTGTTCCAAACATGAATGTATTTATTAATTTGATCTGTCATATAATATATACAAACATATTTCTTTTTAAATTTTTTAATTGAATTATAGTTGACATAAAATATTAGTTTCAGGTGTACAACATAGTGGTCCAAAAACTGCATGCATTATGAAATGCTCATCACGGTAAGTGTAGTTACCATCTGTCACCATACAAAGTTATTTCAATATTATTGCTACATTCCCTATGCTGTACTCTCATCCCCATGACTTATTTTGTAATTGTAAGTTTGTACCTCTTAATCCCCTTCACCTATTTTGCCCCCCCAGTATCTCTCCCCTATGACAATCACCAGTTTGTTCTCTGTATTTAGGAGTATTTGCCTTGTTTTCAGATTTGTTTTCAGATTCCACATGTAAGTGAAATCATATTGTATTTGTTTTTCTCTGGCTGACTCATTTCACATACCATAATATCCTCTAGTTCCATCTACATTGTCACAAACGGCAAAATTTCATTCTTTTTTATGACTAAGATTCCATTGTGTATATATATATATACCACGTCTTTATTCATTTGTCCATCCTATCAGTGCACAGTGGGTTGCTTCCACATCTTGACTATTGTAAATAATGCTGCAATAAACATAGGAGTGCATGTATCTTTTCAAATTAGTGTGTTTGTTTTCTTCAGGTAAACACCCACAAGTGGAATTACTGAGTCACATGGTATTTCTATTTTTATCTATTATGTAGATTGCTTAACTCCATTTTGTTTAGTTCTTTTTCCAAAGTTTTATCTTGCTCTTTCATTTGGAACATATTTCTCTATCTCATTTTGTTTGATTTTCTGTGTCTGAAATTAGGTGGAACAGCTCCCTCTCCCAGTCTTGAAGTAGTCTGTGTAGGAACATTCCTTCTCAAGATTGTGTGTGCCTAGCACCTTTGGCTGCCTGGCACCATAGCCAGCATGAGCTGGAGGTCTCTGGTGCTCCGCATCAGAGCTACCCTGGTGGGATGGCTAGAACTGAAGTGGGCACAGGCCAGGTAGCCCCCAGATGCTCTGTGCTGGGACTGCCCTGGCGGGACAGCTAAAACCCAAGAGGGCTCAGGACAGAGTGTACCACTCTGGCGCTGCCTTGGTGGTCTGCTGGAGCTTAGACAGGCATGGGCGGAGCATCTTGTAGGGACATCTGGGGCTAGGGTCCCCGGGCTCATTGAGGAAGCAGGCTGGCTGGGACACCTGGGCCCTGCCCACAACACTGTCAAGGTAGGAGGCAACATTAACAGTGGTGCTCACCAGCACTTCCCACGCAGGAGTGTTCCCTCCCCCAGTTTGTGGATGTGTCAGTGTTAGTGAAGGGGCTTCCTTACAGTCTAGCTCACCTTTAAACTGTGGGTTCTCTTCCGGTGCCCCAGGGGATGGGAGCCTGCAGGCGCGTCCCTCAGTGATACCCCTCCTTATGCGGTTCCTGTCATCAAGTGCTCTGCTGCTCTCTGTGGTTTCTATATCCTTTTGTGCAGAAACTGCTCATCAGCCTCAGCTTTTCCAGGAAGAACCGCTCTGTATGTAGGTATAGATCCAGTGTGTACACGGGAGAGGGTGAGTTCAGGTTCCTCCCATGCCACCATCTCGGACCAAGTCCAAAACTGTTTCTTTTAAACAGAATTACTACAAACCAAAACCACAGCAAAGTGTAAATAAAGCTCAGGATTTCTTTGCAATACTTTTCCTAACTAGACTAAATCTCCCTGAAGATGTTAAAAAGTGAATGAATGTCTTTCAAGTTGTTATATTAATTTGAAAGATATGCTCAATGTTTAATATACATTCATTGTTTAAATCAAAAAAGGGTAAAAACTAAAATGGAATACAAATTTTTTAATGTGTAAAATTTCTTGAGGACCAGTGAAAATCAGTAACAAAGGACCTTTTGGGAATGAAGTTGGCACTGGTACTTACATGACTTTTGACCTGTATCCCATAACCTGTGAACAAGATTTTGCCCAGACTCTAATAGAATTGCATGTAATCTTCTTAAAATCATGAAGGAATAAAACACAGAACAGTTGAACTGACATTTTCCCTCTTACAGAGCACTTACGGAGTTCAGTGATCGATCGCAAAGACTTAATCATCAAAAGGATTAAGCCCAAGCCCCAGCAAGGAGATGACATCACAGTGATGGACGTGGAGCAGCAGATTGAGGCCTTTCGCAGCCGCCTGATCCAGATGCTGGGGGAGCCGCTCGTCCCACAACTCCGAGACAAAGTGCACTTGTTGAAGCTCCTGCTCTTCTACGCTGCAGACTTGAACCCTGACGCAGAACTTTCTCCAAAGAACTGGAGCAGCCCTTGAGGTCCTTTGAAGCACTGACACACCAAGAATACCTCCCCGGACTCTATCTCCAACTACTCGGAAGTTCTGAAAGTATGGAACAGTAGTTAAAAATCTTACAGGACCAAACCTCTTATTTATCTGTAGGTTATAACAACTTTCTAACTCATTAGTAAATATCTTTTTTTTAATATCCTCTCCTAGCCCATTCCCAAATAGGGCTTAAATATATAAGTGTATATATTTTTTAATAAATTATTTATCTATACTTTTTTTGAAACAGGTAATACTAATATGCACTATGTGTTTGACATTTCCATTCAAGATGTGAACAAAGATCTCTCTGCTGAACAATTCTAGACTTCAGTGTTGTGTCATATAAGGTACTGACAACCTGTTTTGAAAGAGAAAGACATTAATTTTTTCCCTGGTGGAACATAAACATCTTATATTAGAACTGTTATATTTGCTTATGAATTTGATCTTGTGGCCACTCTAAGAAAAGGACTGTTACCAAAAATTTGATGTTAAAAGAATACAATAAAAAGGCAATGATTTCCAAAATATCAAGCTTACCATGCTTAGGTTCCATAGTTGTGAGTAGACAGAATGGAATTAACTCTTTAATAGGACCAAAAAAAAACAGTCATCCATACTTGCGAAAGCAGTGTTTTTATTGTCAAAACGTTTTAAGTAAGAGATACAAGCATAACACAAGACACAAATAAATTAATTATGCTGATCATCTTAGACTCCATGGACAGACTCTATGGAAAGTTCAGCTCGGCTCCTTATGTAGACATGACAGTATCCAAAATAAAACGCAGCCAGAATTTGAGACAATGTTCCAGACAATGACTGAACATGTACACAGTGAGGAGAAATAAAAAGGTAGGTTTCCTCGTTGGCTTCCACAGTAAGGTATGTATTTATAAAGGTATGAAGATCATTGGGGGAGGAGGGGAGGATTTCATTAGAATTTAAAATTCTTCCAACTCCCAAAAAACAGTTTCACATCCTGGCCTGTATAAGGAAATCAAAATAGGGTGACACTAGTCTCACATGAACCTATAATCTAACTGTAGTTTATAATCTAACTGTAGTACTGGGAGTAGCAGTACTACAGAGTATAAACTGTAGTTTATAATCTAACTGTAGTTACCACCTTCTTCACTTCAAAAAAGTTTAACATCCACTTACATATACAAACCAGAAGACTGTATTTTCTCCCTCAGGAAGTTTTCAACTAAACTGGAATTAAAGTGCAAAGGACATGCAAGATTACTGTTTGTTCTGTGACACAAAAAAGAGAAGCATCCCTCCAACACACTGGCCCGACAGGCACTACAGCACAAGCTGTACGGGACAGTGACCCAGCAGGTGCGCTGAGACACAATAAGACTCAGGTTCAGGTCAGGAAGGGGGATCCCTGCCAAGTCTGGCTTTTAACTGTACCTAGATCTCAAACAGTCTCAGGTCTCCTAACTGACAAGGCTGGAGCACATTCGAGACCAAAGCTGCCTTAACTCGTCAATGTGCACCCCTATTCCATGACTCGTCCAAGCCCACGCTTGACAGTGGCCAAGAAATCAAGAAGCCTGTTTAGCAACAACACAAACATTATTCACCTAGTAAGCAGTGATCCAAGTTCTTGTCTAGGGTAAGTGATACAAAAGTGGTGATACGGTCCCCATACATCACTGCTGAGATTTCATTTGACTTTACGTTAAAGCAGTACAAAATGGCTTCTTCCACATAAGGACAAGCTTTGCACTAATGTTCTCAAAAACAAATTATGTCTCCAGCTCTTGCCTCAATTTTAGAAAGATGTATTTTTCCTAGGTCAGAGCCACAGTAAAAGGAGAGTTGGGCACAGACACCCTCTATCCAGAGTCCCTGGACTGGAAGGAGCTCTTAGAAGCCGGTGGGTGTGAGCACATTCAGATCACGAGGTTTGAGATTATGGGTCCGAGGAGGTTGTTTCTTCCCTTCTATGGCTGGGATGTCCATCTTGGGTGGCTTAAAGGTTGCTGGATCTTCAGCCATTCGGGTGGCCTGGACACGCATCAATTCCATTGGAGAAGGCTTCTGGGCTCCTTTGTAAGTCTGGGTGGCAAAACCCCCTACACATAAACCAGAGAGCAGATGACTTTGACATTAGCAGGCAGCTCCCAATGCACAAGGCAAAATGCCTCCCCCATGGCTTTCTTGTCTTGAAGGAGCTGCCTTACCTGAATCAGACTTCTGGAGGGGTCTTGGTCCAAAAAGGCTCCACTTATCTGCTGAGTTTTTGTCCTTATCCCCACTTCCAGAATCCATGGTGCTGGGATTTGGACCAGGTAAGGCTGTGGAAGAACCAGAAGTGAACCAGCCTCTGGAAGAGAAAGAATACATTTCCTAATGTACCCTCTCCCTACCCCTCTGACGTGCCTCACACCAAAGGACCATGAACTGTCAACTCCCCCTTCTCACTCTGATACCACAGACTCAAATCCCAGTTTTATAGGCAGCACTGGCTTCCACTGAAGCATGCTGCTGCTGCTCACAAGGATACAGGCAGCCTCACCTGGACTTCTGCTTCGGAGAAGAGCGAGGTGTACTGCTCGGGGTGGACTGGGCTGAGGCCGGCTGCTGCTCTTCTCTGGCTACCTCTCCACTTTGTAGCTTTAGTTTCTGTTCAGATGGGTAAGAAAAGAAAGTTTTTAAAAATCAGAGCAAATACAAAATAGTTACCAAACAGCTAAGTTTGGGTATACATGAGTTGGTTCACAGTCTAACTTAAGGCAAAAGATAAAATATTAATAGATGGAAAAATTTTAGATTATTTAACAGATTCCTAATTTTGCTATACAATAGAATTCCAACTTTTTAAAAATGTATATATTCTACAATGTATCTCAAATATCTCTGTACTAAATACCACACTAGAGCTTTTACATTAAGAGAAGTGAAATAATTTTCACCCACTTGTCCAGCCGTAAGTGGAAAAGCCAGAACTCAAGCCGCAGGCCTTCTTGCCCTTTAAGTAGGGCCTTGAACTCTTCTCTCACTGGCTCTCCCACCATGTGTAAGTCCTGCTACTCCCAGGCTCTCAAAACCAAGACTCAGGCATGCTATTCCCCTCCAGCCAATTGCTGCTTCTGTGAAGCCTGCGCCTCCCTCTTTGAGCTCCCACAGCCGGTCACCCTGGGCCTCTCAGCACTGTGAGCAAACAGCCTAGCATCAACAAGAGGAGAGACAAATCTGCTTCTCAGTTCTCTGTATCAAGGCTCCCATACTGTCTCTGTGCTCCATGTCCACTATGTCAATCTTTAACCGGAGATACATTCCAAACAAATGACCATTTTTGCATTTTCTTAAACACTCCATCTATCAATTTATATAAGCTGGCATTTCAGGCATCCTCACATTCTATTCGTGGGGCCAAGAGAGACAAAATGAGCCAAAGTCAATTCTACCATTATGTAGGGTAATTGCTCAATTGGAATTCTGACTGACACCTATCCTGGAAAGTTTTCAGTGTCAAAGACTGACAAGGTCCCTTCTGGAAGCATCTCTCTTGTCGGAGAGCTTAAACTGGACACCAGCCCAACCCCAATCCACCACAGTAGTGGCTTTTAAAATTAGTATACAAAGAATCACCCGGGATGCTCATTACAAAATGCAAACAGTCCCCGATGTCTTATATCCCTACCCACAGGCCACCAGAGCAACATTGTTCCTCCTTCATACGCTGCATATCATGATCCCATTTATGAGCCCCTTGAGAGGTCAGATTCCCAGCCAACTTTAGAATATGGGGAAACACCCATCAGTAAACAGGGCACCAGGAGACCTGAGTTAAAGTACCATGACTGGTCAGACATATGACCTTGGACCTCAGTCTCTTCATTTATAAAATATGAAGAATATCTACCTCAAATTAATTAATTTGAGGATTAATACAAAGATTAAGTGAATGCAAGTGCTTCACAAATCATAAAGCACTATTAGGTATCAAGTGGTCTTCCCTGAAAGTCATTTGAAACTTTTTTTTCATACAACTATTTGGTCATCATTAACCTTAGTAAAAATTATTCTTTATTCACTCCAGTTTTAGAAATAAAAGAGAAAAAACATAATACCTTTGATTTTCATGTTTTAAAAATTAAATACAGAGCACGATATTCTTTCCAGCTGAAGTGTTATCTCTACTGAGATTGCCCAATTCTCTCTCCCTCAAAGTCGAACACTCTAATGCAGTCCACAAAGTGATCCTTACTGGCTTTGTTGCCCATAACATGCCCACACACATCACATATGTAAGCCAAGTCTTACCTGATTCTCCTAACCAGAAGCAAACAAGACAGATGACCCACTTTATAGATAGAGAAGCAGAGACTATGAAACTAAGTGCTCCAGAGCTTTCAAGTAGACAGTGGTGGCACTGAACCAATTCTAAATTGCTTGCCCAACTCTCTTTCCACCACTCTTCACAGCCCCCACCTAGCTGAGCTGGTTAACTTCTCAACTTCTAAACCGCAGCATCTCAACTATGAATGATGAGGGTTTTTTTCCAAAGTTCCTAAGAAACAAGCTTACGTGGAGTGCTTCTGCCACTCGAAGGTACTTGGTCTCCTCAGTGGTGAGGCCCTTGTGGGGTGTGTAGCCAGCATCACTCAGCCCTGCCTGCTGCTCAAAACGATGAATGCTCTCCTGCGTCTGTTCTGGGAACACAGGAGATGATGGTCATGCCCTTCGCCCTCTCCTGTGACAAACTGGGGGAGATCAACACAGAGATCTGCCATTCTCCCCAGTCGAGAATAGTGACCATCCAAGGAGCTCCCCAGACAGGCACGGCGACAGCGGTGCGGGACCTCGCACAAAGCTCTCTAACCAGGAGGCAGCCTTCCCTCACGCCAAGCTAAAGAACATGTTACTCCTAGAGAGACAGCCAGATAACCTCCAGGTAAACACTCCTTACCTTCCTCTTATT